GGGAGGCACTCTTGCAGCTGGCAATGCACAGTGTTTCTGACTCTGGGGTCTCTTCAGGGTTATCTAGGATGGGCCAGCCACCCTACCGTGCATAGTCACCTCCTGAATGTGGGATCTGCCCCTCAGGCAGTCACCCTCCTGTTTTCTTTCTCTGCTCCTCCTCCAGGCAGATGGTTAGCCTGTTCCCCAGGACCTGAGCAGGCCTGGCCCATTCCCACCCCTTCCCTGGTCCTGCTGGCACCTCTGGGTCTTGCTCATAACTCGCCTCCTCCAGGAAGCCTTCCCTGCCCTCCCAGTCCCCCAGCTCCTCTTCACTGGCCTTTCCCGGGGCTGCCTATTGGGCCATCTGCCCTTTCACGCAGGCCCATGTAGAACTCCATTTGATGAGGAAACTCATTAGCAGTTACGTGACTGGCCACTGCCCTGAAGTCAGAGATGCACAGTGAACTGGACAAGAAAGGGTGAACAGGACAGGCCGGTTCCTGCCCCCCACGCACAGACAGTCTAGTTGCCCAACTGACATGTCCTTTCAACAGCCCCGGGCACACTTAGGAAACACCTGGCTCTGGGGAGTGGGAGACCGGATAAGAGGACACCGTCCCCCTTGGGGAACCTCTGTCCAAGGCAAGACAGCCAAGAAGATTGGGCGGAGGTGTTAGCACGTGAGTCATGCTATACACCTATCTCAGAAGCAATCATACTGCACATTTTAAAGAGTAAAACGGCAGGAGTATTCTGAGGACAAGGAGAGCACCTGTAGCCTCCTACACACACCCTAAAACCTCTCCCACTTCGTTTCTGAGACTTTCATTTCCTTTCATGGGAAAATTAAGTATTTCATTTCAAGGCTTAGAAAACTGACTTCAACTCTGATCAGATTCCTGACAGAAGCAAGAAAATTCAGGAATAAACACGAGGCATCCCATTGTAGAGAGGAGGACACAGTTCAGCCATTCTTGGGTTCACAAGGCAAACCTGCTGGTCCTCAGGCATCCCTCCCTCTCTGGTCTCTTCTGTGTCCCTGTGTGCCCGCCCAGGGCACCGTCATAGGTGTACGGAGCCTTCTGCTGCCTCCCGGGATCCCAGCAGGGTTGACTTTCAGGAAGTCAGTGGGGAAAGGCTGAGGAAGACCAGCAGAGGCCACCTGGCGGTGGGGCACCAGGGACCCCACACACACACTGGGCAGGTGCTCAGCTGCAACCAGCTGCTCTGCAGAGTCTGCTGGGAGCAACCCCCTGCTTACACGCTGAGCCAGGGCGTTTATCGGGTGCCTCGCGGGGTGGCCGTGTGAGGGAAGGGGCATGGTTTATACCTGACCGATGACTCAGAAGTAGGAAGGGGAAGCCACTTCTTCCCCGCCCACCCCACAAGACAGCGGCTGACAGGTGCACCTGAGCATCACTGTGACAGACATGCGTCCTGCATGAGCTCCTCCTCCTAACAAAGCCACCTTTCCCTCTCTAGCCCTGGCCTCTTTGGGAAGGACGGCAGGAAAGACCAGGCGAGACTGGGGTGAAGTTTCCAAAAACCCTCCACTGGGTCGCAGGGCTGGACCACTGGCATGTGAAGTCGCATCCTGCGGTCTTCCAAGAGATTTTTTCTAGGATCTTCACACTCACTTTGCTTCTCTCCGGTAAAAACCAGATGGCAAGTGGGGACGAAGTCAGGTCGTCCGTCCAGGGGAACAGTTGAGTGGGAGCACCTCCACGGGATGCTGGCCTTTTAGCTGGCCAAGAAAACCTCTGCTTTTTTCTCTCTAGCTTTCACATAGGAGGGAAAACATATGACCCTTGACTTTCTGAGTTTGGCTCACTCCACTTGACATAATGCTCTCAAGTTCCATCCATTTTCCTAGAAAAGACATGCTTTCATTCTTCTTCATGGCCGAATCTTTATTCAGAGCTTTCTCCGTTGTATGTTGAGACAACATTTCCTCTTCCACTCATCCATTTTCGGACACCTAGGCTGGCTCCATAACTTGGCTATTAGGAACTGTGCTGTGATAAAGGAAACCAAACTAGGACATAGACAGATAGAGCAGAGGAAGGGGACAAGGCGGAGGAGGAGGGGAAGTTCTGGGAAACAAAATTGACCCCATGATGCTGTGTCCATGGACAAATACAGCACAAAAGGAGATCCGTGGAAGGAAGGAAGCAGGGGAGGGAGGGGAGGGAGGGGGAGGCCCTGGGGAATGAGGCTGATCAAATTAGCTATGTGCCTGCAGAGATATGCCACAATGACACCCATTGTTATATGTAATTACAATTATGTATACAATGTACCCATAAAAGTCATAAAAAGAAAGAAAGCCTTTGTAAAAGGATGCCTTTCTATGGGCGGTGGTAGGCTCTGGGTCCTAGCCCAACAGTGCCTCCTCCTCTGGGGGACCTTGACTCCCTGCCTCACACCCAACAGCTTTGCAGCCCTCAGTCCAGTTCCCAGTCTTCCTTTCTTCTGGCTCCTCGGTTACCCTCAAGTTCACCTGCAGTGAGACCTATACCATCTCCCTATTCTTATCTTATTTATCCTGGGGGGCTGGGGAGCCAACAGTGAATATGACTTCTGTTTGACCTTGGGATAGGTCTTTGCATTTGGTGGTCAGCAGTTCTGATGTTCAGGGAAATCTACTTGCACTGAAATCTGGCACCACACCTAGAAGGAAGGTGACCAAAAATGGGTGACCAAGCTGGGGGCCTCATTCCACCGGCAGGAAGATGCCCAGTGCTCTGCACGGCCCATCACCACCTCCAGCCTGGGAAGCAGTGATGCCCCCAGGACCTGTTGGGGATTCCTTACGGCCTACAAACTGGGAGTAACCAGAGGACATAAGGGGTGAATGACAGAATACAGCAGAGTGCCGGCAGGGTCCTGCAGCCATTCCCAACAGGGTGGAGAACAAGACTCACTGAGATGAACGCAGCCCACGGTGGAGGAAAGACGTGAAGACCTGCAGTCAGGGTGTTGCTTATGGTCGTCCAGTGGCTGCACATGGAAGAGCAGGGACGGCACACCAGGACAGAGAGGTGGTAAACTGGAGACCCAGAAGTCAGGGCTCCTGATTAAGGGACTAGGCCTGGGAGGGAGCATTTCTGCTTCATCTCTCCAGCCCTGGTGGCTCCTCAGCCAGGGTGACGGCAATGGCTTGTGCTACCACAGCTTTTGCTCTGTGCGAAACTGGGTTGATGGTCTAACAGCAGTTCAACCACTGGAGCTCTCAAAGGGTCCACGGCCCAGCCCTTGGACTGGGTCTGGCTTACCTATCATCTCACCAGGTGAACGTATTCTGACTTAGGTGTAACTCCCTCCCAACAGCACGGCAGGACAGATGGTGGTAACAAGGAGAGAGCTTGCTTTGTAAGCCTTGTTTAAGAACATGCTTTACAGGAGTGCTCCTGTCCTGGAGCTCAGCTGCTGTTTCCTACCAAGGCAGAGACAAAGACCAACCCGCTTTGCTTTGTTTCCACAGCTCAAGAGCCTGGCCCAGAGCTGTACCTCAGCACAGACTGCTGGATGGAGGAAGATTTTTTGCAAGCCATGGACAATCACCAGGTAGGTGAAAACGCACTGAGGGGAACTGCCATCCCAGAACTCACCAACCACCCAGCCTCTCTCTGCACTGAGGTCTCACTGCTGCCGGCTTGGCTGATCTCATTTCTGGGCACTCACATCACAGCAGCAGAATGTGAACTATGTAGACAGTAAGTAAGGCCCAGATTGCTCTCAGATACATGGCATCCCAGGGACAGGACATCAGGTTGTTCATTGAGTCACTCAGGTATTTTTGGCATCAATGTGGGTGTACTCCAAAAAGAACCAAAGAGCAGGAAATAAACAAGTTCAAAAAGTAAGGTGCAGTGAATCCAAGAAGGTTGTTTAAATTTTTCTTCACTGAGTTGGCCCAAAATTGATGAGCCTCAATATCCTTCCCTGAGGCTCTCACTTAGCACTGGCTGGAACTTGGGCAGGACAAAACTTGGACTGGGATTGGGCATTTGTCATTGGCCAGATGCTTCTCACCATGACAACGGTGAAGCCATTCCCTTCAAAACCTCCTTGGGCTGTGGACCCAGAGATCACCCCAGCTAGACTTGGGACGGTGGGCGGCACAGAGTGTAAGAAACTGGGACCCCAGTTCGGATGTGGTGGACGCCAAAGCCTGGGCTCTTACCTACAGCTCTTCATGAAGTGCACCTGATGGACCTAAATGACTGGAAGGAGCGGGTCTGGGAGCCATCAAAGCTACACCGGACAGTGGACAGCATTGGGAAAGCCCAGAGTGGCCTCCAGGAAAGGTGGCGTCCGGTGATATCACGGCAGCCCCTTCCCACCCTACACTCTCCTGGGGCCCAAAGGCCACCCTAGGCTGCCCTGGAGGCAGGACTCACTCCACGCCCGACTGCAGCCACTCTGCTGCGGCACCGCCCCGGGCCGCCTGTAGAGGGCGCCCTCTGCCCTCGGAGGCCGGAGCACTCACCGCGGGAGCGCGCTGCTGAGCCTGGAACCCGGTCGGACGTAGTCCCTGCTTCAGCTGGCCGCGGCGGTGGAGGGGAGGCAGTGTTCGCCCTCGTTGTCGCCCGGCGTCTGGGAACCAAGGCTATACAGCTGCGATCCGAACCTCTGAGTCACAGGCTGTGTCGTGGGGACTTCTGGGGAAGGACCGGGAGAGCTGGGGGGAGGAAAGGCTGAGGGGGCATTTGCATACCCCGCCCTGTCCTCTGCTGAGAGACCCTCCGCAGGTGGCTTCCCCGACTGAGCCCAGGTTGCGGGCAGGGGAGCAGAGAGAGGAAGGGGACTGCGGAGGAGGGGCCGGAGCAGAGCCTCCTGCACTTGGGGATCCGCTGAAGCCTCCTTTAGCTGGGACCTAGGTGTGGTCAGGGACCTGGGGAGTTCCTAGGGCACCGAGGATGGACAGTTACGGAAACGTGCTTCTTCGTGAAGCACAGGAAGACTGCTTTTCCAAACTCCCCAAACACCAGAGAAACTGACTGCGGGTCTGAGTAGTGCCTGAGAATGACTGCCTCCAGGGGGCCAGAGCGTCTGGCCTGGGGCAGGGGTCCCCACTGACCTGAAGGCCACTCCCCTCCTGTGCCTCCCAGGGAGGACTGCAGGAACAATGGCAGCCCCTTAAGACAATGGTTGGAGTTACTGTCAACTTGCTCGCCAACAACCAAGTATCTAAATCTACACACTGTGACTGAAACAATCGTTTTAGTGTTTAAAACCTCAAATAAAAGATTCTAGTATAGGTGGCTGAGGCTGTAGCTCAATGTCAAGACACAATGGCCAGCCCTGCGAAAATAAAAGTAAAAAGAGACACGAATGATCGGTCCTAAGCCAATATGTACAGTAGGGACGAATGAGAATGGAAACCCAGTTTACAGAAGTCAAATAAACAGTTTTTGGTCTTGAATAAAGAAGCTAAGTGGCACTACAGCGTGTGCGACTGTCCCTCATGCAGATGGACTTCAGACCTTTTCCTCCGCTGGGGGACCCAGATTCCTCCAGCATCTTCAAGTGCTTCTGTCACCAGTAAGTGATCCTCTCACTGGAGGAGGGTCCTGAGAGTCCCCCCCACCCACCCAGGCTTGAGGGCCCTGGAGATCGTCACAGAAAGGAATTTGAGGACAGACCAGAGAGGCGCAGATCACTCTGAGAGACAGGGAGGAGTGGGGGCTTTGGAGAGGAAGCCCTGGCTCCAGCTTAGCTGCCTATTTACACAGGGAAGATCCACAGGGGCGTGATCTAAGAGGGTGTTTTAATTCCCCCTGGGTTGCTAACTGTGCAGTGGGCCCCTCCCAGAGCAGGGGATCATTTACTTGTGGACCCCCAATGGCGTGGAGGGTCGTTTTTTTCTGCCTCCTTCTGCCTTTGAACACGGTACTACATTGGTTTACCTGTGGATAGGGCCTAATAACTGATGGAGTAGTGCTGGTTGGGGTCAAGGAGAGCAAAAGTGACTCTTAATCCAGGTGGGAAAGTACATTAAACCTGGAATTGAATCTTGGCCACTCCTGGGTGTCTCATACGTCTCCTTCCGACCTATCCTTAAGTCTTTTTTTATTTACCTCAGTCTGACCCAGTTGATCTGCTGGCTCCTCTTGTAAGGATGCGTGAAAAGAAACCTGCTTGTCCTGCCTGCTGATCTGGAACGTGCAGTTTGAGAACACACAGCCTTCCAGCCCGGAACCCTGCAGACCTAGGCCACTGTTCTCATGGTGTGACCCAGGCTGGGGGCCTTACATGTCCTCTGAGCTTCACCCAATCAGATACAATACAAACACCTCCCAGAAGAAGGGGCGATTCCTCATCCTCTTTGAAACTTCCCCCTACCCACAGGATCCTGTAGAGTGCTTTGCATACCTTAGGTGCTCAATAATTGAATTTTCTGCCCTGTTTGCACAAAGACCCAAATGCCAGTGATCATCTCCAATGACATTTAAAGAGTCTGTGAATCAGACTAACCACGTCTTTAAATCCTGACCTGATTTAGCTCAGATCTGGTTTCACAACTACAGTTGCAGACTGCCAGTCAAAGCAGGATCTCTGGACTCCTTCCATGTACCTGGCACAGAGATGGGTGCTGGGAATATAAAAATGAACACAACAAAGGCCCCACTCTCGAGGAGCTATCAACATAGTGACAGGTGAGCCAGTCGCCAGGAGACGGTGTGAGAGATGGAGCAGGCGCTAGGAAGCTTAATGGGAGATGCCCGGGGAATCTGAAAGGTCCAGCAGTTCCACCTACAGGTGGGATCTGATCTGGGTTCTGATAGACCAGAGGGGCTTGCAGAGCCAGAGTGTGTTGCTCAAGTGGAGAAGCGCAGCACCCTAAATGCCATGGTACCTTGAAAGGCCCCAGGAAATGCCATTTGTGTGGCCCTACCTCAACAACCACCTGGGGGCAATAAGAACACCCTCGCTTTAGATGAACATGTTATTTACATGTTCATGAAAAAAAAAAAATCTTCTTATACAACATAAAGAGCTTGACAACCATCTGGAGCCCTCCTCCTCCACCCAGGCCCCCAGGGCTGGGCTGCCTTCCTCTGCCTCTGCCTCCCCTGTCTGGCTTCCCTTCCAAACCACCCTAGTCTCTTTCACCAGTTTGTGCTGGGAAGAGTGAAATGTCACAGCGCTGGGCCTCCTCTGCCCAGAGCAACCCTGAGCACCAGCCGTGGGCTGCCCAGCACGAGCTCCTCTGCAGGCGACCTGGTCCTCTTCCTGCCGCTCACACACGTGGGCGTCTCCAAGACCGTGGTGTTTCCCCTGAGCCCCGGGTGAGCTCATAGCAGACAGCCTCTGCAAATAGAACGTTCCATGGTGGCCTTCATGTAAGTGGGAGGCTCTAGATGACACCTACAGGGAGAAAGACGCAGTCTTCAACTCTGACTGGTGCGCATGACTGAAGGCCCAGTGTGGAGGCCCCACTTCCACCTGGCCCTGCCTTGATCATCCTCCGCCCCTTCTTTCCTCTGAGCTTCAGGTTTCCCATCTATAAGCAAAGCTGGAGGGTTTCCATCCTATTCATGGGACCAGAAAGAATTAAAATCAAGTGAGATAACACAAGTAAAAGTGCTTTGAACTCTAAATCTTGTGGGGGAAAAAAAAAAGCATGCATTGTTGTTATTGTAGAAAATATAGAGGTCCTGGTGTTGGCATCGTGCTGGGTTTTAAATTGCATTTTACTGCAATTCAAGAATAAAATACCAACAGGGGAAAAAGTTAAAAATCTAGACACCCAGTGGGGATGGGGCGGTGGCTTGGTGATAGATCACTTGCCTGGCATGTGCAAGACCCTGGGTTCAACCCCCAGCTACAAGAGAAAATATCATCAATCTCTGCTATGTTTGTCCATTGGACAATTTTAGAACAGAGAAGGAAAGAATGGGACCTTTAATATCATTCCGAATAAAAGTTAGGCACTTTCTGCTAGTTCCATCTGGCACCTAGAGCCCTCGCTGGCACATAGTAGGTGCTCAGAAAACATTTGTTTTTATTGTTCAGGAGTGTGCTGGCCTTGAAGGACTGCTGTGTTGAAGGACTGTGTAGGAATGTTCCCCACCAGGCCACCCTGGGACACAGGCCATAGGTGACTGATCCAGGTAGGGATCTGGATGGATTCCCACCACCCCCAGGTTCCCCAGCCTGGTACTTCCACATCGTTCCACAATTTGCCCCTGACTTCAAAATGGCCACAGGAGGTGATGGCTCAGGATGAAGTGAATCGAGATGACCTCAGTGGAAAGCAAATTAAGCAAGACACAGAAAGGTGTAACGTAGTTTCACAAGTTTTATTCAGCCATAAAGAAGAATAAAACTGTGTCTTTTGCAGGAAAAATGGGTAGAACTTGAGAACAATACATTAAGTAAAATAAGCCAAACTCAGAAAGTCAAGGGTTGTATGTTTTCTATCCTATGTGGAACTAGAGAGGGAAAAGGAAAAGAAAGGTTGGGAAATCTCATGAAAACAAGGGAGATCAGTAGAGTAGAGGAAAGGGACGTGGCGGGGAGGTGGGAGGAACGGGGAATACTGGGGAGTGATGCTGGCCAAATTATAGTGTGATACCGAGTGCACATATGAATATGTTACATAGTGTAACACCATTATGTACAACTATAATGCACCAATTAAAAAAATATGGGGGAAAAAAGAATGTAGCCCCATATGTCCTTGAATGCCTCATTCATTCCTGGGGCCTGTTCCACATCCCAGCAGCTACCAGGGATGCAGAAATGAGTGAGATTCCTTGTGCATTACAATAGAGAAGATAGACAAGCAGGATAATCAGGCAATAGCAGTTTGCAAACAGACACCCACTCCAAACTGCACACAGTCCCTGGGTCTCCAAAGTGCACACCATCCCTGGGTTGAAATGGGAAGAGGCCCCTCAAGAGCTTCAGGGCGCTGTCACACAGAGAGGGCAGCACTGCAGGTAGGAAGCCTGGCAACGGGTTAAACACATGCAGAAGCTTCCCCCAGCAGCTTTGTGGAGGGGACAGAGAGTTGAGGGAGTTAAGATGTGAAATAAAGAAAATGTCGGAAAAAGAAAAAGAGAAAGAAAAAGAAGAAGAGGAGGAAGAAGATATTGGAAATAATGTGGGTGACCTGCCCCCAAGAGCACAGAACTTCAGCAATGGCAACTAAAAAGAAAAGGAAGCAGAGAATGGGAAATACTTAGCAGATGGACTCCAAGGGAAGGTCACCAGGGCCACACAGACCTCCTCCCGCTCTCAGCCCTGCCGTGTGGGAGCTATGGGACCTGCAGACTGCTTGAGGTTGCTGAGCCTTGGTTTCTTCATCTGCAAGGTGGGCCCAACTCTACAGAGTGTTTCGAGGATTGAAAAACAACAAGGGTAAAGAGGTTAAGCCCGCACGTGACAGGCAGCCATAAACTTAGCCCCACTGAAGGAAATGGTAACTTGTGCCTTAGGCTGAGTCGAGTTGAGGGTGAACATTAGGAGCGAGGGATGAGTGGAGAGGAGGGGCTCTGGGGCAGTGCTGGGCAAGCCTTCCACGGCTGCTGCTGAGAGCTGCGTGCCCCAGGCTCCATGCACAGGGTCTTCGTGTGCAGCCCAGCCCAAGCCGGGTGGAACAGAAGACCCACATCTGTGCACCTCGAACCCCAGGCCCCCAAGGAAGGACAGCTTCCTGCTCAGTCCCTGATTTCAGAAATCAGTTCGTCTGCGAATTTTTTTAACAAAGTCACCAGTTACTCGGAGAGCCCCAAATACTTAATCCGGCTCTGTTCCTTTATGCCAAACCCACTGCGGGTGATGGAGTTCGGGCTGGAGAGACTGGAGGAGCACACCTCCCTGCTCCACCCCCACCAGGATGCACCCCCCAAACTCATTCCGGCCACGAGCTGACCGCACACCAGACCATTTCCCCTGCAGCATTCAGGAGAGAAGGTGAGGTCCCAGAAGCCAAGGCCAGCAGCACTTGCACTGCAAGAGCCACCAGCCAGCCCACTGTCAGCTGGAAATTTGTCACCGCCCAGAGAGGCAACGGGCAAAGTTGTTTCCGTTCGCCAGGTATTAGCTACGTCACTTGTTTCCTATTTCAGCGTGTTATAAAAATTTCCCCAGGCGAGAGGCCGAGGCCTCTGTTGTGAAATCTGGTTAACACGAGGCGCCGGGTGGTTTTCTGTTTTCATGACATCACTCACTCGGGTTAGTCTCTGTGTGTGTCAGAAAAGTAGAGCCCCAGGAAGCTGGCAGCTCTGCTGGGGTCCCAAAGAAATGAGGGAAAGAGGGCAGAGGAAGGACAGGGGAACAGAAATCCCAGGAGAGGAGACAGAATTCCCGGCCACCCCAGGACCAGGCGCTCGGCAGGGATCCCTCAAGGAAGAAACTTCCTTTGCTTCCTGTTTCTGGACGTGGCCACTCTATGCTTATCTGACAGATGCAGACCTGTGATCTCAGTCTGGTTTATAACATCCTAATGAAACTATTCAAATATTTTACCCACTCCCCCAGAGGTTCCATATCAGCTGGGTGTTCTCATTTGCTTTAAATCTGCAGGTGGCTGGAGGAATTGGGCCGGAGGTCAGAGCGATTCCCTCAAGTACCATTGTGCCCGGGCTGGTCTCAGATTTGTGATCCTCCTGCCTCAGCCTCCTGAGCAGCTGAGATTACAGGTGGCAACACCACAGCCAGATCCCCTCAGGAGCTAAAGACGGCTACTGTAGGCTAGACAGTGAGGCAGCTCTGAAGGGAGAACCAGGTGGACCAAACCATAAAGTTCAAAATGAGAACTTTATAAAAAAAAAAGGGGGGGGGGTTACAGTAAAGCACAGCAAAGCGAGTATTGTTGGACCCACTTCCAGGAGCAGCTGATATGTGCTTGTCGTGTCCATGTTAAGAATTCCTCTGAGAATTTTAATCTAAGGAAATACTTTTCAGACTTTTTTACACCGTAGCACACACAGTGGAGGGTAATATTCAGGTCACACGTTGAGGTAAACCACTGGCCCACCCAAGGTCCTGCTCAGAGCTGAGAGGATCAATAGTGTGGCTTTGTCCTAACTCCTTTGTAGAACATGCTGGAAGCTCCTGCTCACTCACTTACCCCGCAGAAGTCTTCCCCAAAGGTTGTAAAGTTAGCTATAGGTGGACCAAGTGGTCCTCCATTCTGGTGAGTTATTTATCCCTCAAATATAAGGAAAATCCTTTCCCCAAATAAATTCAGAGGAAACCAGAAAACGTTTAAAAGCAGAACAGGAAGTTCTGGGTCCCGTGCCCCATGGTTTGAGCCCCAGTTTCTCTACGCTGTTCTCTCCCTGAACAGTCAACCAGTCTTCAGCAAGGGCTGAAACCCCCTGCCTCCCGCCCCCAGTTCTTCTCTGGGGCTGTGTCATTTATGGACAGTGCCTGGAGGTGAGGGAAATGCTGAGTGGGAGGTGTCTGGTGGGCAGAAAGGCCGGGGAGCAGTTGCCCTTGATGGGGAACCTGTTGTCAGGGGCAAAATCAAAGACTCGTGCCACATAATTGATTTTTGGAAATTACAGGGTACTGACATTTTCAGTGTTTGTGTTTTGAATTACAGAAATGTGTCCTTAAGTCCCAATACAATTTTATTCAAATATCATGTTTGAATGAAATAGAAGTTTCTCTGTGCAAAAGATTAAGCTCAAAGAGTTACTTTGGCTGTTTGTAGAATGGAAAGAATTTGGCTGTGAGCAGGAGCTAGAAACAGCATGTGGAAGAAGACCATTCAAGGAAAGAAACTCTCATTTAGAGGATTTGTTCAGATTCGGCAGGAGCCTATAGCTAACCTTCTCTGCCTTTGGGGAAAATTTCTGCTGGGTAAATGAGCGAGCAGGAGCTTCCAGCATGTTCCACAAAGGAGTTAGGACAAACCACGCTATTGATCCTCTCAGCTCTGAGCAGTTCCTTGGGTGGGCCAGTGGCCTGAGCTGCCTTGGCTTACCTCAACACGTGACCTGAATAATTACCCTCCACTGTGTGTGCTATGGTGTAAAAAAAGTCTGAAAAGTGGGCTGGAGATGTGGCTCAAGCGGTAGCGCGCTTGCCTGGCATGCGTGCGGCCCGGGTTCGATCCTCAGCACCACATACCAACAAAGATGTTGTGTCCGCCGAGAACTAAAAAATAAATATTAAAAATTCTCTCTCTCTCTCACTCTCTCTCCTCTCTCACTCTCTCTTTAAAAAAAAAAAAGTCTGAAAAGTATTTCCTTAGATTAAAATTCTCAGAGGAATTCTTAACATGGACACGACAAGCACATATCAGCTGTTCCTGGAAGTGGGTCCAACAATACTCACTTTGCTGTGCTTTATTGTAAATCTCTTTTTTACAAAGTTCACATTTGAGAAGCAAAACTACAGTTTGGCCCCTGGCTCTCTCCCCTGCTAATCTCCACCTGGTGGAGCCAAACAGGAGCGGTGTCTTGCTGCATCCATCCTGGATGCGACTGTGTGTGCTGGCTTCCACTGAGTTACCCTCAGAGACTGACCCCAACTCTCCCCCCAGGAGAAGCCAGGAGTCCGCAGAGACCCTGCCCTGCGAGCATGCCATGCCTGGCCTCCAGAGCCCTGTGGTGTTGACCCCAGGCCCCAAGACCACCAGGAGGCGCCTCCTGCTCTTCAGGAACTGGCTGGTCACCACCAAGCAGAGGTGAGTGGTAGACAGTCTCTCCCTCTGCTGACAGTCTCTTACCAAGACCCTGCCACCACCCACAGCGCTGCAAGGGACCCGGAGCATTCATGGCATTTCTGTGCTGCAAGGACTGGGATGGTTTGATTCTAACCTTTTGATTGTCAGGTGAAGCCCCAAAGGACTAAATCCCTGGGACAACATCACACAGATAATGTGTAGAAAACTAGGGTGAAGAAAGTATGAGAAATCCATCATTCAAAAAGAAGCCCTATGAGAACATGACCCTTTGATCTCATCCAAAGTAGATAACGGGTTCACACCCATAAATTGGAAATTTGGAAACCCAAATGTTGCCCACATCATTTTTCTCTTTGGGAAGCTTTTCAATTATTACTTCTTCAGCATTTGCCTTAGATTAAGGGAAGGTAAGTCAACAGAATGCAATGTGAATTTGTGTGCCTGCAGGACAACTGTGTGCTTGCAATGCCTCCTCCTGATTTCCCACTCCCAGGACATGCGGGTGTGCACACGTACTGTACCGTTTCTATGTGTTCTGGATACGCGTCCATCTAATTCACACGGTTCTCTGGAACAGGAGTTCCCACTCCACAGATCTTTAAAACTGCCCAGATAATTAATTATCAAGGTCATTAATGAGGCCCAAATAAATTCTTTTCCAGGAGCTCAGTTTGAATCTGCAGGGCAAATATGCCTCCCCAGGCCGCGGCCTGGACCTGGTGTGCAGAGGAAAGGAAGAGGCCAGGTGGCCTCTCCCTGCCCCGCTCCCGGGTCCCCTGCCCCTTCCTCCTCACATTTTTCTCATATTAACTGAAGGAGAAATGGGACCAAGGGTCAGCACCAACGAGGTCACTCCTTTGCATTCCCAGGAGCTGGGGAAGGGACCATAGAGGCTGAGGGTGTGAAGAACCCCCGGGGAAGCAGCAGAATGGGACCAGAGTGGGACAGTACCTCATGGCCCAGTGGAGGGGCAGCCACCCAGGGCCAGCACCCACCCTCCTCACCTCCCTGCCCACTCTTCTCCCCTCGGTTTTGGGATTCTCTCTTGTTCCCTGAGGATCACAAAGCCTAATGGAAATGTAAAGGAGTCCTTCCCAGAAGCAGGCCCTGGACCCGGGTATTGTCTGCAAAGTACCAACTCAAGCAAGGGACAGTGGCATGGGCTGCCAGAAAGGCTGCCCACTGGCATTGGATGCCAGAGATGTTCTGAGCCTGAGTAAAGGACCCAGTGGCCGTGAGGAAGAACACAGGGGATGAGAAGGTATGAGCTCCCACACCAGAACCCGGGGCCCCAGGTGGAATCCCAGGGCCATGACTAAATGCACGAAGGTTACCTCAGAGGGTCAGGCTCACCTCCTGGACACGAGTTGTGCTTGCAGCTTCAGAGCCCCTCGATTGCCACAAGATCCGGAGAGGAGCCCCAGAGCAGAGCTGCAGCACCAAAGGGACAGACACCGGCCCCACCCGCCACTCTGTGACGGAGCAGCTTCCAGGACTTCTCGTGCTTCAGTTCCAGCCTCACGACCCATTTTACAGATGAGCAAAGTAAAGCTCGGGAGATGGAACTGGCCCTGCGTCCACAGAAAATAAGGGGCAAAAGCAGGACTTAATTGGGCCACCTGTCCCTCCGAGGGTACAGCTCTGCACTGGGGCCCATTGGCCCTGGCCCTAGAGGACGCTTTCTCAGTGAGCCACATCTCCCAGGATTTTGTGCACTTTTCAAAAGAAACCAGCCTTCCAAAAATTCCACAGTAGAAAGGCAAGCAGGGAAATAAATGTAGAAACAGGCTTGTGGGATTGATAAGACAAGTAGTGGGACCCCCTGGGGCAGCACGGGATATCAAGGGTCAAGGTCAGAATCGATGCTGGCTGAAGCCCAGAGCCCTGGAGAGGGGGCCTGCCTTCTGGGGTGGGGGTAACACTGAGTCCTGTTTTGTAGGAAGAAGAACATTTACATATTTTGAGACTTTCATTCAATTTCCCCTGAAGAGTTCTAATTTAAGCTTTGTGGGGAAACGCGCCACATTTTAAAGAGCTTCTCACACCTACCCACCAGGCTTATTATGATTATTTTAGATGTTTAGAGATTTCAAAGAATTCAGAAGCTATCTGGCATCCTCTGCCCGTATCCAGCCAGGGATGCGATGTTTTCAGAGGCCCCAGAAAGCCCCGGAGACAAACAGAGGCTGGGGAAATCCTGCCTGCCCAGGGTCAGGAAGGGGACTCAGTCTCCACACGGGCAGAGGACGTCCCCAAGAAAGTGAAACAGCCTCTCAGCTGCTGGAGCTCACAGAGCACTAAGCAGGCTGCCACCCAACTGCCACTGGCTTTGTGCCCGGGGCTCACCGGATCTCAAAGCACTCCTGCTCACCTGAGTGAGGAGGAAGGAAGCGCTGCGGGCAGGGTGTGGGGAGGAGCCGCCATGGGGAAACTCAGAGTCAGCCTCCAGCACACCGCCAAGCTCGCGGCCCTGTGGCCACCCTAGGCAGGGGACATTGCCAGACCTGGAGAAATGCCCACCGGGCAGTGACCTAGCACCGCCAGGAGCTGAACATTCACACCACTCCCCAAGAGGGAGATGATCCAGAAAGCCTTCTCCTCCACGACCCCATAGAGAAGGAGGGGACCGGGAAGGTATGGCGCAGTGCACACACCCCCTGCCCTGTCACATTCCTCAGTGGACCTTGCTCCTCCCTTCCCCAGCTGCTCAGGCCACCTGGGACACCACACCTTCTTCCTGTGGCCAGCTCTTTCCATGTGTGGGGACCTGGCCCCAGGTGGATCCAAACACACATCCTGGAGCCACAGTGCAGGGGTTGGGGCTCAGCCCTGCGCTTACTGACCGATGCTGTGCGCCTTCATGTCTCACCTGCAAAACGGGAATGAGAATAGGGCCTGCCTCCAGGAGGCGTCGTGGGGAGTGAGCAGGATTATTTGCCATGCAGAACCAGACGGGGCTGGGATGTGTCCGTGCTTGTTATGAAGTGGGGCTGCTTCCTGTGTGCTTTCCAGGAGGGTTCTGTGCCCCACGTTTCACACATACAAACACACACAAAAAAAGTCTCCTCCCCTAGACTGAAGTTAATGGCTTATTAGCTAATCGCTGCTGACGTGGCGGAGGGTCTGCTGGACTCTGGGGCAGGAGCCTCAGTCCCAGCTCTTAAAGGGTTTATGACGCAATGGAAGAGTTTACAATCCACCAGGCTGGATGACTCCCTGGTTTACGTGTGTGTTATTCAAGAGGGAAATTGCTGAGTGTGGGGAATTTATCCAAAATATCCAATTTTAACTTGGAGTTGAATTTTCTACTCTATGTTTTCAAGATGTACTTGCTACTATACTCCAATATGTACATGAAGAACTGTTTTAAAGCAGTTTTACCATATTTTTACAAGCTTGGAGATGTGATTTTTAGAGCACAAAGAATGCAGAGCCACGCGTAGTTATTTTCCGATCCATGAGATTAGCCTCTGAGAGTGAAAATCCAGTCTAGCCTCCTCCATCCATTGAAAAGAAAAGCACGCCCTTTGCCTCCAAAGCCAGAGGGCAACTTTGTCAGTTGCATTTTACTATAAATAGTAGATGTGAGGAAGTATTTCATAACCTGCCTGAATTGTTTTGAAACATCTTTTTAGCCTTTAGGCAATAACTACTCACAGTTGATAACAAGCAACTCCAGTACCAGCTACAAAATTTGTAGAACCCAGGGTGAAATAAAATAGGGGGCCCTGTTTTCAAAAAGTAATAGAATTTTCAGACAGCAAAAGCAGGACATTAAGCCCAACACAAGGGCCTCTGAGTAGAGGACCTGGGGGACTGCATGGGTCCAGGGCTCTGGCCCTGGCTTCCCCTCTTACTGATTAAATGAGTTTTAAATCCTCACTTCCAAAGTGAAGCCCTTTACCAACATTGACCATATTAAACAACATTGACTTTGCTTAAAAAAACAAAAACAAAAACTCATTTCTTTGCCAAAAATCATGCTTTCAAATAAAACAGACACAAGCTCAACATTATTTTTAAAAGTTACATAAATTCATTTCTCACATTTTATGTGCATTTAAATAAATAACTTTATTTTAAAGTGAAAATGAGAATTTGATATAGATTGTATCAGGTGATCTCATGCAGGGGCTGACCTAACCTGAGTTTATCATTTTACAAAGGCCATACCATCAAACACGGTGAATTTAGAAATTATAGTTCATCCGTTCCTATTGCCTGCCATAATAGAGATCCATTTATTTCCCACATGCTGGGAAATTTCCTCATCAACACTCATCCAGGGCAGTCCATCTGGAAGGAAGACCTTAGGGCTGTCACACAGCACACCTGCCCAAGATTTCAGGTGTCACCGTTCATTTTCACTTTGTGCCAGGAATTGTTCTGAGCCCTTTGCTTGCAGTAATTCCTCGAATCCTGGCAAAAAAAAAAAAAAAAAAAAAAAACCATCTGGGAGGAAACAAGATTCCATCACTTCTGCTAATCTAAGCTGAGAAGCAGGTCGCCCCACCCAGCCCATGCTCCAGAGGTGGAAAGTTAAGTTTTGTCTTGTGAAAGGAGAAATACCAAAGAACTTCTGGGCATCCTTTAAAACCAGGCATCGATGTCTAGATTACCCATTAAGGTGTCAGTAAATCTAGTAAGTTCACCTAGGAGTGAGTGTGGACAGGATACCAGGGCTGAGCCCTAGGATGCTTCAGCATTCAAAAGCTGTGATTTCTGGTTTTTAGAGAGGCAACTGAGGCACAGAAGTTCCACAGCTTCCCAAGGTCACCAAGCTAGTGACCAAGTTGGGCAAATAGGAAGGCTAATGAAGGTGCATAAACCGGTATTTGCTGTTTGGTCTGGTGTGTGGGATCCATTCCTTCTGGAAGTCTTGGCCTCAAAGTTTCTGCCACTAGTTTATTGCACAACTTCTTGTTCGTCTGTTCAACCAATATCCACTGCATTTGTACATGCCAGGCACTATTGGGATAAAAGGGAAAAGCAGTCCTGCT